TCGAATGAATACATATGTTAATCGTCGACGTGACTATGGTATGCAATGCTTAGGGTTAATAAATGATAATTATAATGATCTATGAGGTGCTTATACTATGTTGAGTGTGCAGCCACAAAGGTGTTCATTAGTCAGCATTGATGAGTGTAATCTGGTGTGGACTCCTGAAGAGTTCTGGCTTTCCTTTGCTTACACTAGAACTCACTCTTCGTGGACAGAATTGGCAACTTCCTTCCACGTTGAAATTTAAAGTCGCATGGCAGGATTGGGGGTTATTGCTTCTTCATAACTACTTTGTGCCTCTTGTATTGCATCATCTTTCAACTTATCTCCCCGTGCGGGTGGTAATGGCAGTTTACAAAGTGCACGCCTTTGTGCTTGGCCTCTTTTCCTCTTTACATCAAATTCACCATACACTGTAGCCTCAGCAACTGCTGTAGCTGAGGCCAGGGTGGCATGGGCTAAAAAAAATCAGTCTATCGCCGATTTCTGATCTGAATTCAAAATGAGTTTATTGACCAAATGTAATTTACCAAGCTAAATGTTAAAGCAATAATTTTTGCAGAAAATGATTTTTTTTGTTGAGTAGCATCTCCCCTTATTGATATAGCATAGGTTTTAACTACAGTGCATGTAATAATGAAATTAAGTAAAGCAATAAAATTTGATCTAAAATCGACTTGCTGCTGGTAAGGGCCAAAGCTATAATTATGGTATAATGCGTTCAATGCTTTGCCAACTGAGCTATATATGAATAATAACATATATCAAGGTCAAAAAAGCAAAGGGAGATGCAATTAAAAAAAAAGTTGCTTTAATCTGTATCCTAGCACGATGGAATTTTCGATATATATATATGCTTTTATGCTCACTTCAAATACGTAATCGCATTGATAGTAAATTGCACAGTTTTCGTTATATGCCATGGCGATGTGCAAAGTATAACTCTTTTCGGACAAACTCTTTCTCCGTTTAAGCTTTTATGGTTCTGAGCAGTCAATGACTCATATTGCTCTACATTATTTACATAATGCAAATAACTATGAAAAAAGTGGGTATAAGACATTTTAATAAATAAAAAAAGTTAAATGCGAAATTTTTTTGGATCCTCAGCCCATACTAACAGCTTACTTTAGATTTTTAACAATTGCACAGGTGATATAAAGTTTAAAAAAAGTACTTGTATAAGGAATCTGTGGGCAAAATTTAATCCTAATCGTTTATCAAAAGTACCGAAAACACGATTTTCACCCAAGGAGGATACATAAAACTTGCTGGAGTGGAACCCGCCTATGCGCCGCTACGGGAGAGAGTGAAGCCGCGCCGAGCATGCGGCGGCCATGTTGCCAGTGGCAGAAAAGAGCCGAGCACTGCAAATTTATGCTTTATCGCGCTGCGGGTGAAGTGTGTTTATAAAGCAACGTAAACAAGTAATTCTGGTTGTAAATGTTTATTGCGGCTTGTACGCAGCCAAGTGGTGTGTAGAGAACTCAATTAAAGTACATATGCATCAAATAGCGATGCCTAAAGCAAACACATCATCGAAAACATAGGTGCCCTACTGGTGGTTGAAAATTATTGCCCTTGTCAAAAGTGGTCCCACCTTACTTTTGACCAATTCTCATTTTTTTCCTTCGTCTTGTGTTGTATCCTCACTTTTATGTATTGTTCGGCGATTTGCCTGCACAAACTGTAAACCTGATTATCAAGGGTATCAAAGTCTAGGACGAGCTGCTCAAGTTTATGGAACCAGTTTTTCTCGGAGGAAGCTCATGGAACTTTCAGGATGAGGTGTTTTGCTCTTGACTTCACCGTTGTGATGGAATCATATTCAGCCTCTAGCCGCCCCAGTCTTTGACTTCTTTACAGAGGCTAATGACATCTCGCGACGGTGAAACAAGACCACCTCGCCTCTTACATTTAACTAAAGGTGTCAGCTCATGTGAGTGCATGGATGCTATGCACTCTTCACAGGTAGTTGCAGTTCGACCTTTCGAACAATGAAGCCTGCTATGTATGGCACCACGGAACCGACAAAAGCAGAAAAACTTTCGGGCTACTCAATGTGATGCGTATTGTCGTGGTCATCGAGCTGCAGGACTGGGGCCTTGCGCATGTCAGTGAGATCGCTTCTTGGATCTACCATGGCTGCAGGAGTCGTTGCATTCAATACGGAGAGAACATCTTGGGAGCAGTGTCCAGAACTTCAAGATGTGACTCCGTCTGAACCAATAGACGCTTGTATGCAGCCATAAACTGCGAAGCTGTTGGGTTGTTGTTATGGCCGCCTCATCCACGTATTGATTCAAAGAAGTTTTCGGCATAGTCTTCACTGAGTGTGTCAGTAAGTATTTCAGCTGACCCTGGCTGACAAGTCTGTCAAACATTCTTTCCGTGCTTGCCATGCGTATCCAAAAACCAATGAATCCGTTTTTTTTTTCAGTCCTTCTGTCACTGCCGGATCTCTCAGCCCGTTTATGTACGCTCGAGTCTCCGCAAAAAACGACTTCCAGAATGCTTCGTTCCCCTGCCGAAGGGGAGCTTTGTAGGACCTTGCCAGCGGGTTCCTGGAGTTTAAGATGTCAAACAAGGATCAAAAGTTCTAATAAACGTAGATCTTGTGCTGGCACCCTTGAATTGCGGCAGTTTTAGCTTTTGTTCGCAGAAGTCCAAAGCGTTGGTAACTGAGGCACTCAATCAGTTGTACAGCATATCATACCTTAATTTTCTTGCTTTTCCCATTAGACGTGGACTTTTGTAAGTTTGTTTCTGAGCCACAACCCTTCTTCACGTTGAAGTGCCTTCAATGCCACTTCATAACCCCATTTCACATGCTTCCCTTCAATGTCAAAGTGGTGGAAGCACTCTAGTGCGAAGTGCACAGAGCGAAGTGATCTCAGTCTTTCGCATTCTACTTCTCACGGCGAACGGCCCACTCCCAGAGGCTCCGCGTTACGGGATCTTTAGGAAACCTGTAAAACAAATCTGGACTGTTATGTTATGTTATCGCGTCAGCTATAGCTCCCTTTAGTAACGAGCACGGAATGGCTATGTCGAAGACGTTTTCGTGTACGTACAGGTGGAATGTGAGGCCACAATCTTTTTTCAACCTGTTGGCACATCCGTAAACGACGCAAGAGGCAACCATTGTAAACCATTGGTCTTTACATGCCGGCAAGGTGAAACAAGAACGGACGAAATCAGCAGCTCGCGATGGCGCCGAGCACGCTTTTTGCTACTGGCAAGGTGGTGGCGGCTGGCTTCACTCGCACAGCGCCCCTTCCACTCCAGCAAGTTTTCTGTATCCTCGTTGTTTTCACCCTCAAGAAGTTGCCCGTAAGTGAATCATGAGAAAAATGCATCTTAAAGGTATAAGTTGAAGGTCGTCTATGCAGAAGATGTCTTTTAAGATTATTCCTTCTGTCATGAGAGCTTGGCAATCGAGCATTTGGGTTTAGTGAACGTCTCATACAAATGCAGTGGCAAGTAGCCAGGTGACTATTTTCACGGGACTCTAATAAATGAGCTTTTTTTTTAGTTTTAGTTGCTACCTTAAACTTTTTAAAAGCAATTTACCTTCCTTCAAGTTCAATTCCAATCTTTAGTTTTTTGTTGAAAAAGTAGAGACGATAAATTTGTGAAAGCAAATAAAAACTAAAAGACGTAATTTTGAGAAAAGCTTCCATTTTTCCGCTCGCATCTCCTCTAACTGCACTTATGCAGAATAAACTTCGGAACACCGAGAGGCATTTTATGGAGCACAGCGCTAAACAGGAAAACATGGTGCGCTGGTATAGCAAAAAAGAAATGGTGAGTCTGTGAGCATGTTTTTTGTAAGTGCACGTGAAAAACCAAGAAGAGGAGAGAAATGGGGTTGTTTTATATTAAAATATTGATAACAGTTCAGTACTGTTTTTCTAAGAAAAAAGCGCAGCTGCCGTCTATACAAGAATTTTAAGTCTATACCAGAAGGGATGCATGCAGTTGAGAGGCAGCAAAGTGCGTTCACAGAATGCACTCCGACCACAACATTCTCTTCTGAAAGCGGCAATTGGCTTGCATCATTTATGTTTGGTAGACAGCACTTTAATTGATGTGTGCTTCCCATAGGTACACCTAACTTTCTTTCCCACTGGACTCCGGCGTTCCACTTATTACACAGTACAAAGAACCTGCCATGTCGTGACACCATGCATCATTCAAAGGGACAATATCAAGACAAAACCGATTTTTTTAAGTATTCACAAACGACAGTTTTGCAACACCGAAACACTACTCTTTCTGTGAAAGGACGCTTGGAAAGCAAGAAAGTGCATGAAGAAAAATGCTCGTAGTGACGCCATCTTAAAATTGTCACACCAAATGCCATGACTTCATAGATTCTGACGGTGTATACTGGTTCATGCATAGATCCTAATGATATGAATGAAGTACATTGTCCTGTGAATAGGCTGTAGAGTTATCATGCAATGTGGTGCTGCAATTAAAAATCAGTGTTCCCCCCTAAATTCAAATTGGATAAACAGTTCTCATAGTGCAACTTTTAAAGTTACACTTTTTTTAGTTTAGTAGGAAAACAATTCTGGAGTTCTCCATTCACGGCAAAAAGCAACTTCAATGAGCAAGCTACCAAATGGGAAACCGGCAGTTCACTTGCGAGATGCGAAACCAGTTCTTCCAATTAATGAACAAGCATTTGAGTATTGTACATTCAAATGCTGTACTTCAATTATTCTTTACACAAATGACCTTTATAATTATTCACAGGTTTATTAGGATGTTTGTAAATACCCTGCTGCAGTTTTTCAGGACAGCAGTACTCAAAAATAAAGGTGACATCACTTCGCAAGGTCTTCGTACTTGAACTGACGAAGTAGACAAACTGCAGTAGTCGCACATGAGATTTACTATCACAACATATTGTATAGCAGAAATGTTTCAACTAAAGAAAAGGCCCAGCAACCTGTTCAGAATGAAAATATCAGATAGAAATGGGCGCCTGCATATAAAAAATCCTTTATTGAGGTATCTTTAGGCCTTGTCGAAGCTTTGCTGCTAGTAAGCACGGCCAAGCGACATAAGGCTTCGTACAAGGGCTTCCACTTTATGCTTCCTCGTGTTGCCGGGGCACTCTGGTCTTAAATTGTTGAGGTCTGAACAGCTCGAGGGCGGTTGGCCAAGGCTTGCGCAGCCCCCAGATTACCGGTCGGGTGGGTGACCTCAGCGCCGAAGGGATGGCCGACCCGAGCCTTGTCCCAGGTGCCATGACGCTCGCCAGTCACGACCTACCAGTCAGAGTGAGGATCAGTATTGCATGCTAGGTGCAACACAGCTCACTTTACCTCATTGTTAGCTGGGAAAAAAACTGTGAAAAAAGTACGAGGACACAGAAACATAGTACACATACGAACGCTAAATGTGTACAGCTTCTCTGTGTTCTCATGCTTTTTGGGACATTTTTTCCCGGCTAACAATGTACCAATTCGCTTGAATAAAAGTCCCACTAACCTCAGCTAGGTCAGTCAGCAGAGGGCTCATGATGAAAAGGCTGTGAACCTCCTGGCGCTGGCACCTCGTACGGAGGGTCGTCGCTGGTCTGCGTGTACAGCAACATTGTTGTTTTGTCTGGGCAGGTAGCCAGGTGCTGGAGATGGCCATCCGGTTCAGCGGGCGCGTCATGGTTAGAATTGAAGGGGCATGGCTTTCATTGGAGCTGGCGAGCGTCCCGTCGACACGTGTATACTTAGCCACCCTCTCTTGGCATTGTGGTGCTCACTGTACGGACAGATCACCAGGTCTTGCAAAATGTTGAAAGTAGCCATTAATTGTTGAGCGTGCGGTTTAGATCGAGGTCTTTGCGTCTTAGTCTTAGCTAGTCGCGATCTAGACTGTTGGCAATGGCGGCTGTGGCTACTTCGGATGGATGGATGGATGCGGCTGTACCCTTTAGATTGGGCGGCGGCTAACGCCACTTAGCCGTAATACTTAGTGAACTAACCATCAGATTTATTTTTTTCCTATAAATAGTGAGGTTGAGGATTCGTACTTTGCAGTGAAGAGTTTAATTTTCACTCGAGCTTTGATTTTAGCCACCAATCAGATAACCTCCTTTTAGTTAAGTCTCCCCGCTTAACATCTATTTAGCCCACCCTGTGTCTAAACCAACGTTTTTAGATACTTTTCAGTTTGCAAACTCGCTTCGAGAGGCGGCGTCGTTTTGTCGCCGTTGCGAAAGGTGGCGCTAGCGTTCCGTTGAGATTAAGGTTCCTAGATGAAACAAGTTTCCAAGGTAGCGACACCCTCCCTTTTCCTCCTCGCTTATTTGCCTGAAGCGCCCCTTAGAAGGTTTAAAACTTTCATCCAAAAGCGAATGTTTGGGTTCTGTTGCTACGGTGAATAGATGTAAATGAAACAAAATGGAACGAAATAAGACGTAGAATAAACAGTTACCTTTATGAACATAAACGGCACAACACAAGAGCAAGCGGGATGTGCGTAACTCAACCGGCAACGTTGGGCAGTTCTATACTTTACACCACTAGCCATGGCGTCTCGCGTAGTACATTTTAGTTCCACGGCCGCGGTATTTCGTCCAGTTCTAACTAGTCCACTTCTCCGATTGTGTTTTGTTCGTGCTGTGACACAGTGAACGTGCTTCTTGCTGTATCCTGTAAGTGGCCACAGGGCGTGACGTTGTGACGGTTGATTACAACCGGCTTGTGCACACGCAAGAAAAAAAAAACTACGACCAGACTGGTACGAACACTCGTCCAGCAGCACTGCGATGACGTTTTTTTTAATGTGTCCATTTGGACAATCGTGATGCCAAGTGATTCTGATGCGGTGCTGGGAACTTCCTGAAAAGTGAGAGTTCTACTGGTGAGGTGTCTCGAAGCAGCACGTTTCGGCTCAAGCGGGAACTGGTCAAAAGTGAAATGTTTCTGAAGGTGCGTTGATTGCAACCTACAGCTGTTCTGTATACGTGCATACCCACATGTATTTGTACCAACTGGCATGCACTAGACACGCATTAGACGCGCGCCTGGCGTTTCAATAAAAACCGACAAGTGAACTCGCTTCGCAGATCCGCGTCGACATACGTTGACGGAGTTGCACGAAAGCATTCGCGTGAAATGGTTCTTAGTTGCACTTCATGGTGCGCTTCATCTCGGAAAGCACGAGGTAAGTTGAAGAGAGCGAAACCATTTTCTGTTGTTTACGGCAACGCAGCATTGCTGAAAAACGCAGATGTTGCATTGAACGAGCATGGCGAAACAATCTTGGTCGACTTAGCGCACACCGAAACGCTCCTCCTCTTCAGTTTATGTTCTGGCTACGATTTTGTTTTTGGTCACGGCGAGAATCCGGCTGGAGCCATATGCGCATGCGTACTCGTTTTGAACCTTTTGCATAATAATAAATAACACCACCAGCCATTTGCAAGATAACGTGCAAGTAATGCACCAATTACAGACGCGGATGGCAGAGAAAAAGAGGAGTAATCGAGAGAGTGAGGAGGACGGCTCGAGAACAATGAGTGACGCTACCTTGTTTCATCTAGGGACCTTAGTTGAGATCGGTTGGGAAGCAGTGAGTGGCGGTGACGCTTGCTTCAGACACTTGCTTTTGGTGTGTTGCTTGCGCTCGCACGTTCATCACGCCTGTACTTTCAGCTTGGACACGTTCTACAGTGGTATGAACTCTTTGCAGTGGATACCGTGAAGTGTCAGCGCGGATTCTCGACATGCCGACGTGCAGCGCGCCCGGCTGTCGTTCGGGGTATGCTTCGGCAGCTGCAAATCCCGGACCGCGACATTTTTTCAAGCCCCCAAAGGACCCTGACTTACTGAAGGCATGGCAAAACGCGATTCCACGGAAGAACTTTAAGGCAACGCCAAAAACGTACGTCTGTGACATTCATTTCGAGCCTGTAGACATCATAAGCTGCTATGAGCACACAGTGAACGGTCAAACCGTAACGATACCGCGAGGCAGATGGACACTGAAGGAGCGCGCTGTGCCTCGAATTTTTCCGAACGTACCTAAGCATCTCTCAAAACCAACGGTGCCGAAGTCAGCAAGAAAGCCACCCAAAGTGAGGTCAGTGGTTTCCGCCCAAGTTTCTTCCTGCCAAAGTGATGAATATTTGTACGACGAAACTGACGCATGTGACGGCATGGATGTTGATGAATGCACCGATGTTATCACGCTAGGAACTGCGCCCTGGCTTGCTGTTGTGCAGGGCAGCCCGACATTTGATTTGTGGAATGTGAGGGCTTCTACCATCTAAGTTATCTTCTACAAACTCGAAGAGTCTGGGTGCGTTGTGTACATTTAAAAGGCGGTGTAATCCGGCAAGACTTGGCGACTGAAGTTAGTTCAAGAGGTGTGCTTGTCCCGCCGTGCAGCTACATCGAGAAAGATGGAAACATTCCGACCCTGCTAACAAGCCAGAAGAATTTAACAATGTTTCTTCGCTACATCGATGCGCTCAAGATTTGCCCTGGGTGTAAATGTGAGCTGTTTCCAGGTATTTCATCGTCAAAGGCAGCCATGAAAAGGCAGGGTGTATGGCGAAACAAGAAATGCATGGTGCTGTCAGGTGAGCACTTGTGCCCTCCATGCAAAAAAAACAAAAAAAACTTTGGTGATAGAATGAAGCGTCGTGTTCTTTGTGTTCTATTCTATTTCGTTACGTTGTTGTACGTGTAAAAAAATTGAGTTCTTATTTTAAGAGTCTTGTGTCCCACATGTATCTCTTGATGTAGAGGGAACGAAATTCTGATAGACACGTAGCTAGGTTTATGTTGCACTATACTTTGTCTCGCGTTCTGCCGGGTGACCGAGGGCACTTGCTTGTGTCGTGTGTTGTCTGTTGTCGAACCGTTCTTGACAAGTTGCCGAACCATCGACAAGTGCTGAAACCAAAGATCGTCAGAAGAGACGAAAGAAGATGGTCGACAAGTTGTGGCGACAAGCCAGTGGAGCTGGGATCCATCCTCAAGAATGGGATGTGTTCCCGGAACAGAGTCTGGAGCTGCATTCTCCCCATGGCCCTGGAGGCGAACCTGGAGGGACCTGCCGAACGAGCGCACCTGACATCCGAGCCACGTGGAAGCAGCTCGTTTTTCCGGCGCATTGTCTCGCGGCGGGGGTGCTGTTATGCCTGCGAGTCCACAGCGAACGTCCATGCCTCTGAAAAAGGCAATCTGTGTCAAGGCCAGCCCGCGAGCCCGCCTGACGCGAACAACTCAACGGCGTCTTCATGCGGCGGTGCTTCTCTGCCGCGCACGCACAGTGAGTCACCTCAGCCAGCGAGCCCACCGAGCAAGCAATCGGCGCCTTCCCGTCTGGCGAGTCTGACGCAATGCGTGGCGACGTCACTCGTCCTTGGGTGCAGCCACGTGCAGCGCAGCGGCTCCAGATTCGATGAGAATGACGTGGCCCAGCGGTGACCCCATTGAAGAATTCTGACCTCATGACCAGCGGTCCTTCTGGTTGGACATTTGGTTACTCAAAAAATCCATCCGGTGCATATAAAAAAAGCCCTGCGGCGCGTCGCGAGGAGTTGACTTATGTGTCAGAGAAGAGAGCTCGGCACTTTGAGTCTCTAAGTTGTCGGCCCCAGTGCCGAATTTGTAATGCCTCTATATATAAATGCTGTACATAAACCTTGTTCAACTCACCGTCGTTCCGTCTGCTTGTCTATCAGCTCTGCGCAGAAGCAGTCGCGAGCTGAGAAACCTACGCTATCAAACGGCTGGTGACCTTCCCGGCGGAATTCGTGTTGCCGTTGCCGTCTTTCCAAACAGTGGTTGCAGCGGTGAGATTCGTGGCGCCCTTCGTAACGTCGTCGGAGGTGCGCTTCGCAACAAGTATTCGTTTTTGAGCGGGGATTCACGTAGGAAAAAAAAGCAAATAATGGCCAGCCGCAACTAGTTGTGAAAAGTTGCTGCTGAATTTTACAGTTGGTAGCAGGGGTAGTTGGGTGAACATCCAGAAATAAAGGCCCACTAAAAAATTGCTTGTCACAAAGCCTTGAAATAGATTTTACAAGTTGCTGAGAACGCTTAAGATGTGGCACATATCCGCCGTATATTATTGTGATACTTACTATCGGACCCTTTTAACGGGTTCTTGCCTTCGCCGTTGCCGTCATACGTTTCATGTAATGTCCCAATCAATAACATCTCCCGGCAAATTGTATGTTCCACTCGGGAGTAAAAGCGTGTGAGTACTGGTGATGAGCGTGGTTCCATGGAAAGTGCGTGCGATAACCTTGCCCACTGTGTAATGCTAGCCGTCAATTTCTCCTCAATTATTAAGAAAAAGCCCTACTCGTCTTCATTCATTTGAAGAAAGACTGACAATTGAGGTCTAGCGGCGGCTTCGGCGTAAATGAGCGCGGTGGTACTGAGCGGGACAGCACCCTTGCCACCCGGCTCAGTTTCGCCTAAGCCGCCGCTATAGGCCTCCGTCCTTCAAAGCGGGTGTGCCGGCTATGTAGGCCCACGACATCCATTGGCGCTGACTGCAGCCCACCAAGCAGTCCTTTAAGCTATCGCTTTGTCAATCACGTTCTGGTACACCGGTGGGCCTTGTTCCCTCGAACCGATGGCGGCCGTCTGACAACGCTCTCTTGCTTTGGATGTGGCTACGCCGGAAAACTGGTGGGCCATAGCGATCCCGTGCAGATGCTTCTTGTCGCGTCAACCGTCACCAGCCAGTTGAGTTGCCCCTATTATGACCCAACACACAGTTCCAAGGCTTCACTGCATGATGATTTATGAAGTAATTGATACCTTGGAAGTGCACTTGTACTAGTTGCAGAGGAAGCACATAAGGTCCCGATGATCCGCTTGCTTAGGACCTCTGTGAAGTTCTCTGTCACATTCAGGCTAGTAATATAGGGTTGAAAGAAA